AGGAAATGTGTGATTATATATTAGCAAACCCTTTTGTGAACTAAGCTAATGTTGCTTTATTCTTTAATACAAAATATGAAAAATTGGCAGTTAATAGAACAACTATTAATAAAATATGGAAAAAACGCGAAAAGTGGCTTCTGTTCTTCCTAATTTACAAACTGCAAAAACCTTTCGCTAACATCCTATTCAATTTCCAGAACTTGACAAAGCTCTTCAAATTTGGACTTCACAAGCAGTATCTGCTGGAATTCCTTTAACTGATATGATTTTACAGCAAAAAGAATTAGAACTTACTAAAAAGTTAAATATTGACGAAAATCAGTTAAAATGTACTAATGGCTGAGTATATAGGTTTAAGCAAAGAAATGATCTTCAAAGGATACACTTTTCAGGAAAAGCTAATAGTGTACCACTTGAAACTTTGCCAAAAGAATGTTTACATTTACATGCTCTTTTAATTAAATATAATGAGAAAGATATTTATAATACAGATGAAACGGGACTCTTCTTTCAAATGAAACCAAATCAAACACTTAGTACAGAAACAGTAGCAGGTCGTAAAAAGGTAAATTAATTTATTTAATTTTTATAATAATTAATTATTAATTTATATTAATTATTTTTTTTAATATTATAGGATAAGAATCGACTTTCAATTCTTTTTTGTGCCAATGCTACAGATTCTCATAAATTTTGGCTTCTTGTAATTAGAAAATCACTAAATTCCTGATGCTTTAAAAATATCAATAAATTTGCTTTTCCTGCAATTTATCGTGTTAATTCAAAGGCATAGATGAGATCAGATATATTTGTTAAATGACTTAAGAATTTAGATCATTATTTTTGTTCAATAGATCGAAAAATCTTGCTTCTTATTGATAATGCAGGATCTCATTTTAATCCAAAAAGTCTTGAGCAAGATAATAATAATGATAATAATATGGATATTAGTGATGATGATCTTAATAATAGTGAATAAGAAGAATCTAATCAAAATTATAATAAGAAAAGAAAAATAAATAAAAAAAAAAACCAGAGATTTATCTTACTAATATTGAGCTTATTTACCTTCCACTTAATACTACTGCTCACCTTCAGTCTATGGATGCGGGAATTATTTATAGCTTTAAAGCTAAATATAAATGTGAGTTTTGTAATCATATTATTAGCCAATTTGATTCTGAAATAGATCACATAAAGTAATTTGTAGATTTATTAATATTATATTTATTTTTAAATAATAAATAATACAATTTATGATTTTTTATTAGAAATAAATTAAATGTCAAGGAAGCTATTAATTATATAGCTGAGGCATGGGGTAATGTTACTTAAACAACAATTCAAAACTGCTGGGTTAAAACAGGAATCTTTCTATCTTTTGATTTTATTATAAATGATATTGATATGCAAGATTTTGAGATATATGAAATTGATATCGATCATTTACCAGAAGCTAATAGATTAAAAGAATTTTTTCAGATGTTTGATCATGAAATTCTAACTAAAGAATATCTGACTGATGATCAAATTATTAATTTAGTACAAGATGAAGCAGAAGGTATTGAAAGTGATGATAATGTTTTAGATAAAGAAATACCGTTAGTAATAGCAGGAAAAGATTTTGATGCAATTAAAACATTTATTAATTATTTTGAACAGCAATATGATTCAGAATTTAATGTTGATGATTTGCGTATTTTTCGAAAATATTTACGAATTGTTAGAGTTAAAGCTGTTAATTCGAAAAATCAAAGTACACTTGATAATTTTTTGAAAAATAATTAGTTTATGATCTTTATAATGTAATAGGGTAATAATAATTATAATACTTAATATAATTTTGTTTTGAATAAAGGGGCTTGCATATACAAATTTGTACACATTTTTTGTGTATATGATCGTGTAAGTTAAAAAGATATATATTAAGCTTAAATTTCTTGGAATGGGTAGTTGGAGGTAGAAGGAGGGATAGTTTAAGTTTTTTTTTTTATAAATGTAATTTCATATCATAATTTTGTAAAAGATAAACAATTTTGGCTTTATTTTATATAAAAACTTATTTTGATTTTTTTTTATATGTTGATAATAATATAAATAATTTTACAAATATAATCACATTAATGAAAAATTTTATTATGTGTGTGATTATATAGGAAAACCCTTACTATAAGCACACCTCACTATAATTATACCATTTAGTGATCCTGAGTAGTATGATTATAAAGGGGGATGACTATATTATTTCCATTATCTGAATATGATCTAGAAACTTTTGCATGATATATAGCTATAACTCTTCTTTTAACTGCTGTTCCCAATTCTTCTTGCTTCTTAAATTCTAAATCCTTTTCTGATCCTTCTTCAGTAATTTTTCCCAAGCACTTAAATTCTTTATTATTTGTTTTTTCTTTACTAGTTTGAGTACTTGGTTTATTTTTCGATAAGTAATGGTAAATGCCTTTATAATCATCTAAGTTATTTATAGTAGAATTGATTCCTACAAGATTCTTGAAACTTTTTTGTAATCTTGCTCTCCTTACCAGGCTTTTGAGCAATTGGATCAATACATTTTTAGGCAGATTTTATAGTCAGAATAGTAAGAACATCAGAAGTTTGAATAAGAGTATCATTTTCTGTAAATATTTCTTTACGAATTTCAGCTACAATTCCTTTTTTAGGCTTTTGATTAACTGCTTGAACAGGTTTTTGCTTAACCTGTTAGTTTTCTTTTTGAATAGATATTTGATTTAGTACTTGAATAGAAGAAGCAGGGGTCAAGGTTAGTGGGATCCTTTTGGGATCATCTACTTCATCAGCTATTTTTTTCTGATCTTGTAATAGTTTGTAAGGATTCTTTCACTTAAAATACTCACAAAGTTTTTGAGGAATTGAGCATTCTCGTCCACAATGTTTACAGGTTGTACCTTTCTTATCACTTCTTGTTTTTCTATTCATGATGTTAACTCTAACCATCACACTATTACTTGCTCATATAATTTTTTCTTTAATTATTTATTTCTTATGTACCTATCACTTTTCAATCATAGAAACCCTACCAAAGATAAGTATTTACAAGCTTTCCAAAGAGGTTCTAGCTATTGCAAACCTGAAGCATTAACTAATTATTAATTAATCTTTTCAAATCTAGTAATAAAAAAGTAGGATGATTGGTAAATATGCTTGCCCATTTTTCTGTAATACCAGAAAGGCTTATAGGAATGCTAGTACTAGACCTGAAGGATGCTGATTCTATTGGAAGGCTAAAAAATATATATCTTGTTCTTATTGCAAAGAGCCTACAGTCTCTGCTTGTGAACAATGTCTACTATATGTTAAAGGTTATTATGTTACTCAATACTATGATAGACTTCGATGAGAAAGAACTTATATTGGCCAATTCTATGCTAGCCAATTCTATGATAGATTTCAATTAGAGATATGAGAAAGAAGTTATAAGAAAATAATGGTTATCTATAGAAATATGCTTACAAATCTTAATATTTCTCTTTGCAGAAAATGCCTCATTCTGATAAAAATAGGAGAAGAAGATTATTGCGTTAGTTGCCAACCAGAATAAATGAAAAGATTATTTTGGCTAACTTAAATTTTAAGTGCAATATCCAATGAGCATTTGCTAAATTTTCGTTAGACTTACTTTTTTATATTTTTTCGTTAAAGTTTTATACTATTTGATAAGCTAGCCTATGCTGAATTTATTCTTGACTAAAAAAAAGTTAGGACAATTCTGCGAATTTTGCAGGAGGTGACATTTCGTTAAACTTTTATATAAAATATGCTTTTTAATAAGCTAGCCTGCATTGAACCCATTCTTGATTAAGGAAAAGTTAAAACAAAATCTCATTAGACTTATTTAATAATTATGCTATTTAATAAGCTAGCTTATATAGAAGACATTCTTGTATATAAAAAAGTTTGTTAGATTTAAAAGTCACATAATTTTTCATTAGACTTATTTATATATTTTCGTTAGATTTAATAAATATAACTGAAAAGTTGATATAAAAATTAAGATTCTAGAGCTGTTAAAAGCTTTTCTAATATATTAATAAAAATTGATATACTTTCTAAGGTTAGAGAACCCACACAAAATTAAGAAATATAATATCAAAATTAAGATTCTAAAGCTGATAGAAGCTCTTCTAATATAATAAGAAAAATCAATATTGTTTTTAACGTTTTATGACCTACATACCTAATGTTTCAGTAGAGGTCAGACTTTCAGTCCTTAAACCCCCACTTATACATTATGTTCAGTCCTTACTTGATACAATAAAACTAAGAATAAAAAAGATTTGCAATATTGGAATAATACTAGTGATCAACAACATAAACACTGATCCTTCGTCTACCATTTCTTTAAGCACTTTTATACAACTCACAGAAGGATCTAATGACATTCTGCACTTAAATGATGTAAATAACGCTCTGAACAATCTGTAAAGGATTATGTCGCTAATATTGAATCATTATACCTCAAACTTGATCCTGATTATAACACGCTGGAGGATGAGAAAATTGAACAGTTTTTGCAAGGACTTCAACCTGAGTTTTTGACTGCAGTAGCTGCCATTGCATCACGTGATTTAAAGGAAACAATTGACTGAGCTCAAGCTATTAAAGCTGTTCTCTCTAAAGATAGTGATATTCTCTTAATAAAACCTACTTGAATCAACATGATGAGGAAACTGAAAGAGAAAAAGCATCTAATATGTAGCAGTTGATCAAGAAAAATAATGACAAATTGATGAAAGAATTTAAACAATTATTGGGTACTATTATAACTAATCCACGTACTGATAATAATAGTCATCCTGTATACAATAACAACAATTGGAAAAATATTACTAGTAGCAGTAATCAGGTATGCTACAACTGCAACTGACTTGGATATATTACCAAGAATTGTAGAACACAAAATAGCCAAGGTGGCAATCGAAATAACTTCTAACAAAATAGGAATAATACTTACCAAAATGAAAATAGATGCTTTACTTGCAAATGAAGAGGACACATGGCCAAAAATTGCAATACAACCCTTAACAGATCCTATTCACACTGCTGTCAGTTCAGATATTAGAAAACTTATGTTCAACTAAGCCAGCACTAACTTTTAATAATAGACAACCACCATTTGGCCCAACAGGTCAATGAGCTGCATTGTCCCAAAGAAGTTCTATGTATTATATTCCAAATTTGTCCTTACCACCTTTTTCTTCACAACCTTCTATAACGTTTCCTTTTACTAATACCTCTATGACTAATAATAATCCCTTCTTTAATCTATTCAACCAGTCTTTAAACTATTAAGAATACCTTCAAAATGTAAGAGTACCAGTCATTATTTAAACCTCTTAAATGAAATTAATATACCTAAAGCTGTAGAAGCTGTCTATTGTTATACATTTGTAGATGGCAAACTTATTTATTTGATTTTAGATTCAGGATCTGCTGAAAGTATTATGTTGAAGAATTTCTTGCAATAATTAAATAGGAAAATTGAAGACCCGTCAATGATCATGATAATTAATATATAAGAAGAACGCTTACAACCATTAGGAAAGGTGATCAATGTTCTAATACAAATTGGTGACGTAGAAATTTCTATCAATATTGATATAACTGAGTCCAATAATTATTACATTGTAGCAGGAAATGATTGGTTAATTAAATGTCATGAACAATTTTATTGGAATTGTCAAAAGTTTATTTTTCAATAGAACCAAAAGGAACATCAGATCCCTATGACTTGCTAGGAAAAACCTCAATTTGACAAATTTCAACAATCTATACTAATCCTTACAAGTTCTATAAATGATGAATATAAGGATGAAAAATTGACTATGCAGCAACATTATATGATATTAGAAGACAGTGAAGAAAAACTCATCTTAACTAAAAGTAATCCTAAGCAAGTGACAGTTCAAAAATAAATGTATTTACCACAATATTTTGAAAGCTTTAAACAAAAATTTAGGCATCAACCACCTGAAAATTCAAAATGGAATTATCACTGGCAAGGTTCTGAAAATAGATGTTGGTATCATAAATAACTTGATCAAGCTGAGGATATATGTTTATTATATTAAAAAGAATAGGACCTTTGGCAATTATTACAAAATATTCCTGAAGAGGAACTAGCAAAACTAAATCATATGCTCATTTAGATCAGAAATAATAGAAGGATTTATAACAATTCCTACAGGCTAACACTAATGCATTCGCAAATAATTTATTACAACTAGACTATACTGCCATTGAGAAACATCATATTCTAATAGAGAATTCCTTTCTAATACGATAACGAACTTATCGAGTTGCACCTTTAAAGTAAGAATTTATTAAGGAAGAAATTAATTGAATGCTAAAACACAACCTTATTCAACCATCTGAAAGCCCTTGGGCTTCACCTGTTATTCTAGTACGAAAGAAAAATAGAAGTTTACATTTTTGTATAAATTATCAAAAGCTAAACAGTATTACTAGGAGAGATAGATATCTATTACTATAAATCGATGAACTATTAGACATGTTTGAATGTTTTAAGTATTTTTTCACCTTAAATTTAGCTAGTAAATACTGAAAGTGGTGATGGAAGTTGAAGATTAAGCAAAAATAGCTTTCATTACAAATTAAGGGTTATACAAATTTAAGGTTATACTATTTGGACTAACAAATGCATCTGCTACTTTTCAGTGATTGATGAACAAAATTTTCAAAGAGAAAATTGGACAATTTGTAGCAGTTTATCTCGATGATATTATTATATTTTTTTTCACCTTTAAGGAACACCTACAGCATTTGAAGCATATTTTTAAAAAACTAAAGAAGACAGGATTAAAGCTTGGCAAAAATAAATGTGAGTTTTGTAAACTGGAACTTGCATTTTTAAGACACATTGTTGGTGATAAGAAACTTCGCCAGACTCATCGAAAATTGATAAAATTAAAAATTTTCCAATTTCTAAAAATACCATAGAACTTAGAGGATTTCTTGAGCTGGCCTCTTATTATCATAAATTTATCCAAGAATTCTCTATTAGAGCTGCTCCTTTACATTTTCTATTGCGAAAAAAAAGTCCTTTATATAAACTTTATTTCAACAGGAAACGTTCGAACATTTAAAAAGTTGTTTAATTACAGCATTAATTTTAATATATCCTGATTTCTAACGAAAGTTTTTATTATTCACTGATAGATCTTATGTAGGACTTGAAGCAATACTAGCGCAACTGAATGACTAAAATAGAGAATATGTTGTTACATATGCCAGCCAAAATTTGAATAATGCTGAGCGAAATTATACACTTACTGAATTGGAATATCTTGTCACAATTTGGGAAATGAAATATTTTAGATTATATTTACTTTATCAACTATTTGAGTTAATCACTGATTACGTAGCATTACAATGGTTGTTTAGTAAATCAGATCCACCCAAAAAATTTATGAGATAGATCATTAGAATCATAGAGTTTCCCTATAAAATTAGATACTGAAAAGGAAAAATACATTTAAACGCAAATACGTTATCTTGACTTTCCTCTCTCACAATTTAATTCCAACTTAAGAACAACAAAACAAAGAGTGAAAGTTTAAGTGTCAGCAGTGTGACTGACAACTCTGATAAACAAAATGGATTTAAAAACTTACAACCAACTTTATAATTTTCTCAATACCTTAAATTACCTATCAAACACTACCCCTACATAACAACTTGAAATTCAAAAACAATCCTTCAAATACTTTATTAAAAATCAATAACTTTATTGTAATAACCTTCACAACCTCTATTAGTTATTAAAACTACTGAAGTCGAAACTTTAATCTATAATGTATATAATGAATCTTTAGAAAGACAATTAGGTCGCGATATAACATACAATAAAATAGCCTCTAAGTATTACTGGCCAAACATGTATCCTGTAATTAGTAATTGGATAAAACCTTGTGATACTTGCTAACGATAAGAGAGACCTAAACAGATTAAATCGTTATATCCAATACCTATTAGACAATTATTCGACTGTGTTAGAATAGATTATGTAGGACCTTCCCTCAAACTACCAAAGGAAATAGATATTGTTAACATGCAATCTTTTTAGATTACAACTGTTAGACGCAATATCAGAGAGTTGACTCTTTTATAGTCTACGTAGTAATTCCAGTTAGTTTACGATAATTTAGCTAATTCACTATCAGTTTATTGTATTATATCAAATTTATTAAACGCGAGTGGCTTCAATCATAAGTTAAGAGTGTTTACAGTAAGTTCGAGAAGAGTTTCAGATAAGAATTAAGAAATACTTTATTGAAGTAAAAAGGAAATAATAGGATAACAATATATGAAAAAAATAAGAAAAGAGAAATAAGAAATAGAGATATACAAGGTGAAGAGTAGCGTGCGTTATCTTTTATAAGAGAAAAGTTCTATACAAATGTCAGTCTTGTCTCTTCTAATTAATAAAAGAGTTTGTATTTATATCTATTCTATTACATATTTGATATATCTAATATATTAACTATATTAACTATATCTACTATATTAACTATATTAGACATATCTGATATGTTAGACATATTAGCTATATTAAACATGTTAGACATGTTAAATATGTTTGACATTATCGATATTTGTATTTCATTACACAATTGTAGATCTATAATTGTCAAGATCGATACCCAATCACAATACATTATAGTTACCACTGAATATCTTACCAAATGGGTAAAAGCCACTGTAACTCCTGATTGTACTTTCTAAACAATTGCATAATTTATTTATGGTGAAATAATTTGTCGACATAGTATACTAAAGGAATAGAACTATATCTTTCCAAAATAAGTTAATTGCTGCTCTTATGCATATTGTTAGAACTAAATATAGATTATCATCTCCATATCACCTTCAGACCAATAGATTAACTGAGCGATTCAACTGAACTCTCTGTAATATTTTAGTAAAATATGCTGAACAACATAAAGGAGATGGGATTCATATTTACCCTCAGCCCTGTTTGCTTATTGAACTGCGCAGCAAGAAATGATCAAATTAGAACTCTTTAAATTATTATATATGAAGAAAGTTACATTACCTATCGATTTACAATTGCAATGCCTTTCGCCTGAGAGCCACCTCCCACAAGCAGTGGAAAAACACTATCAACTAATTTCAGTCCAATTAGAACAAAGGAGACTTGATGCATAACAAAATATTTTGCAACGTCAACAACAACAAAAATATTATAATAAAAGTCACCCTAGAATAAATTACCAAATTGGAAACAAGATGTTAATATTTAATGTATCACAGTCACATATATATGGTGATAAATTTAAAGATAAATTTGATAGACCATTCTACATACATGATGTTATATGACTAGGTACATACAAATTGCGCGCTATAGATAGATGAGTTAGAAAGAATCCAGTACATGCTGATCTCTTAAAACCATATTTGGAAAGATCTGAATAGATATCACAAGTCATCATTAATTGATAAATTTTTATAAATAAAGGTCTAATAGTGACCTTGAAGAAACTATTTCAAAAAATTTAAAATAGTTATACTAGATAATTTTGAAACTGTATTGGAATAACTAAAATATACAGCAAATCTCTTAACTATGATCACTTAGAACTTGAAACCTTATAAAGCTGATATGATTTATCACAAAAAGTGCAATTAACTTATCGAGCTCTTTTACGATCAATGTACATGAATAATCGACTTTTATCACTCGTCAATTCCTTTATCTAAGACAACTTCTTGAAGATGAAACTCTTACTCCTGCTTAACATACCTTATAAGCATCTACTATTACTATGCATTATTATTGAACAGCTGTATGAGTTTTTTATTTATTTAAAAATCTTGAAGTCTAATAAATCTTTGGTACTCAATCATTTACCTTGACGATGGTTCGACGTTTAAAAACTACTAAATATCAAACCCTGATAATTGAAACTTTGAATCTTTCTGCTAGAGCAGAAATCTTAAGCGAAAAGTAATGTAATCAGATTGAATTGATGATTATGACACAGTATATTGTAAATCTAAATGTCAAACATATCAAATATATTTGACATATCAGACATAATAGATATACTGAACATATTTGATATATTTGACATATGGGAGTATTTCTAGGA